ATCTCTGATTGTAAAATGTCTGGTGTCTTGATCGTTACGAACATAATAGCTTTCAGTATGATTGCTAAAATAACAGCCAATGAATCATAAGTTTGGCTCTGGAAGTCCGTTCCAGTGGTATAATTATAAATTGAAAACGAAGGTAGAAAGGTTTTAGCTGTCTGCTAAAAAACGTGGCGATGCTCATTGTGTCCATGTGGAAAAAAGAAGTTACGTACATAATAGATTCGGTAAGTATTTTTTTTATTGTATCAATTTAAGTGAATGTTTAACACATAAATACAGTCGTTGTATCTTTATACCATGTAGCTATTAATCAGAAACTAAAATATGTCGCTTATGACCATACAAAATGCATAAATCTGTCCGAGTCGAGTACTTTATGACTTTTGATTTGCGTCTTTTGTTACGAACATAAGTGTTTTTGCAATATTTGTATAATCTATTAATGTTAAGTTATATTGTACTATATTTTATTCTATATTAATTTTGTTAGTTTTGTTCTGTTCTTATCAAAGGATGAATACTTATTTAATATTTGTTTTAATATTGCCATATCATTTACGCAATTACGTTCGTATCAGAGACACGAAAACATAATTTGTACTTTAATTAACTTCTTTCTGGTTTTATCAAGAATATATCATAAATATAATTAAACAGCATATGTGTTGATTACATCATGTTGTATTTGTTTTATATATTTTTTTCCTTCAGATTTACAAGAAATGACTAAATTATGTTCGTAACAATGACACAAAGATCCAAGACTCAAAAAAGAAGACCTAGAAGATTTAGCAATCCATCTGACAATTTACTTGTCTGCATTGATTCTCTTTGAAAGCTAGTCTATTATTAAGCTTTGAAATGAAATATTAAAAGTGTTAGAGACAAGTGTTCGATTGTCTTGTTATATTTTTTGTTCCTTTTTAAAGCCTGATTCGGATTTAGGTGTCCCTGTTACTTACATAATTTCTCCATTTTTGAAACCAGAAATAAAAATTGTGACTTTTTAAATAAATTCCATTTAATATAACATTAAACATGATTTCATCATACCTTATTGATTACATTATTTTCATATTTTAACAACATGTTAAATTCTAATAACATGTTACTTGTTTAGTGCTTATTTCATAAAAAAAATTACAGGAAAATGGTTCTTTTTTTGTGGACCGTATGCAGATTATTTTATTGACTGCATGGAACTCGCATAACATCGCGTGGCTTGTGGAGGTACCGGGATGGCTCAATTCCTGCTATTTCTTTTATTATAAATTCCTTTTAAATTTGTGGACCAGAGCGGCTGTCATGGTTGAGGAGTGGAGATATTACCCAACCTGTATAAATACAACCAAGACAGTCAAGATTCAGCTTTCCACTCTTTATTAAATTACACAATCTATTTCTAAGATTTATAACTACAATTAATAATTTTACAAAAGATACTAAACCATATTAAAAGTATAACTACTTATAATATAAAAAGTTTAACTTGTTAATAAAATAAGCCATGTGAAAATTTAGATAATGTTTACCGAAACGCGCGCAAGTCTACGAAATAATCTTACCTGTATAAATGCAGCCAGAAAGATACAAAATTCAGCTTTCCACTGCCGAATTTTCCCACTGAGCTACATTTGTACTCCCATACATGTCCTGCATATTTAAGAATTTCTTTAATTACTTTTGTCTGTAGAGCTCGCGTTCGTTATTTTTTGTCAGACTAAAACTGCAAACTCATAAAATTTGTTTCATTCTTATATTTACTGCAATTTTTATTATGATACTTATGTAATAACGGTGTCCATTGGCAATCTTGGATATATTTTCTAATTATAATGGAATAAGGCAGAAATAAGTCATGCAATTAAACATGCAAATTTGTGTTTATATACTTCAAAAAGGATTCACCAAAAAAGTGTAGCTTATTGATTTTAAAAACAGTCACTGTGGACACCAAGTTACGTACATAAAATTTCAGACATGCTTGTACATTTGGACACATATCTCCTCTTTAAGACTTCAGATTATCTTCCCATCATTTTTTTTGAAAAGCAGGAAGGTTACTGACTCAACTAATATACAAAAATTATGAAATTGATTATTTTTAAGAAATAGGCCTTTGGTCACACATCTTAACTCAGAACTGAAGAATGAGTTATATAGTAGCGTATTTGAAATGTACGTTACTGTCGCCGAGGCAAATATTATGCCGAATCCCCTCTGCGTAATATGCAGTTTTGATTCTCAAGTAAAAATTTTCTGTTAATTTAAACCCTGTATCTTATATATTTCTTTTCATAACAATAAAGACATTTTCTTTGTTATAATAAATCATTTTTATTGTGCAATGTCCCTGTCGCTTAATCTATTTCAACAACATTACAAGCAAACACAAAGATCATACAGCTGATAGTTTTTTTCCTCCTTTATTTATTGATGGGCTAAATGTGAAATTTCAAAGGATTATTAACTCATACTTAGATAATGTAACATGAAATTGAACAATTTGAGCAACTTTTATAAATATGTTCACGGAATGAAACACATTTTCAAACGTAGAGATAAGAAAGAAATGTACGTAACACTATATTCTTCCAATAAGAATATATATTAAGTAGAAAATATGAGACGACTCTGAATAAGCAACCCCTTGTACCCTGTAAACTGGCAAAGACGTTTTGCCTAACACAATTAAAAATTATTTTTTACATGAAAAGTGGTCATTTGAAATGTACGTGACTGAAATGTACGTTATCATGAAATTCGAATTAAGTGAATCTCGCACGAATTTTCATGTATTCTCACACTTTCACACACTCGAATGTGTACACAAAGGATTGTTTCAAAGGTTGGAGGCTAGGTCGGCTAAATCCCAAAATAAATGAAAAGAAACGTTTCTGCTGAGGAAAAAAATTATATTAAGGCCATTTATATGTAATATGATTTTTATACCTGATATATATTTTTGAATACGAAACCAGTATGGTGCATTTCTTATGATATGCAAGTTCAAATAGTATCAATATATTGCGTGTGTAACGTAAGCTTGTGGAAGAGATTTAATTTTTATATTTGAAATGTACGTTACGTATGGTAACATACATTTTGCGTATTTCTAACTGACATTTTTTTAAAAGTTAGTCAATGAATTGCGTTTGCACGAGCGAAACAAAGATATCGTACAATCCATTTGACAACTGACCACATAAAGCCATCTAAATGCACCCCAATCCTCGTAAATGTGGTAGACTGTTACCACATGCTAGAAAATTTATTTCTAAGCGTCTTAAATTCATCTTTGGCAACCTTTTTGCAGTTTGTTTACTTTTACTATGCGACTTTTCGTCAATATTCATTTAATTGTTGTTGATAATTTAAAACAAGGTATGCATAGGATTATAATTGGTAAAAAAAAAAAAAAAAGAACAAAACAAAACAAACCCAAAACACAAGACGGTCGCGTACATTTCAAATACAGAAAGGCACACAGTACTAAGTTTTGTTTGAATCATTGCATTTTGGGTTATATTTTTCAAGATCTGCTGAAAAGCAGGTATGTTTGTGTTTTGACAAACGATGTTGCAGCATACTAAATGAAATTGTTAACAAGACTGTCGATAGATATATTCGGAATAGATTTTGATCATTTATGTTAAGTTTCAATGGCCAAAAATAAGTATTTGTTGGATCATAGCAAAATATGTCTTTCTCTTATTTGATTTTGTCTGTACCCTTGCACACAGGTAGAAGTAACTAGCTAGGCTTCGGTGTCAATTTCAGCGAAACAGCACAAGAGGTGAACTCAGAGGGGACTCCCCAATAATATGTGAAATGAACGTTATCGAAGTGACGTGACATTCATGTAGCTCATGACAAATAACCCCATTTTTTATATTATGATTTCTTATAATATTACTGCGTGAAAACGCTTCATTGAAATTTTTTTTATGTCAATAATTGCTTTTTTTTTCAATATTTTCTTATTACTAATTTACATATTATTACAAGTTTGAAATGTACATTACCTAATCATAATCTGGGGCAATCGTGTCTTTATAGTGGTGATTGTGACATATAACACAATGTGATTACATAGAGAATCTTTTTTGGAATAAACTGAAACAAAACGATGAATTTTTAGATGAATTTTAATTTTTATCAAACAGAAAAAAATCATGAAATGTACGTTATATTTACATAGTTTTCTAAATCGGCATGGATATATGTTAAAAAGACAGTAACTACAAAATAGAATTTTACTACATGTACATGTTAAGTTCCAGTATCTATAGAAAATGACAAGATTCCAAACTGATCGCTCTAAACAAAACAGAGAGAAGAATTTAAAGCATATATTTTAAAAAATGTTTTTATACATCTGGATCAAAAAATAACCTTTGTTTTTTTAAAGGAAAAATCAAATGCACGTTCGTATGCCGAGAGAATATGTTGCTGACAGAGTTGGTAGGATGTGCTGGTGTTAAGATGATATATTCCAATTGTGATTTTTAATGACTATATTTTTTTGACATATCTTTTTGGACATTGCAGAAAGAGTAACGTACATTTCCAGCTACATTTCTGAATATAATCACCCCCTACTTCAACGTCTTGTCATTATTCAATGTATTAAAATTTGATGAAAAAAAAACTTGTAACAAAATCTTCAGATACTTTCTTTCAAAGGTAATTGATAGAAAAATTGTTATCTTGAACTTCATTTTTTTTTTAAAATCAGAGAGGCATTTGTGCCCTTATATTGAGAATGGGTGATTGAAGACAAAAAAGTTAACTCGGTGCTAAAAGTGTAATATATCTCACACTAAATTAGCAAGCTAGGTTGATTTTGAGAAAAACAAAATGAAAAAAAAAATCACAAAGGCTGGTATTTACCATTTAAGTGTCATGGTTCACTTGGTCCTTTGAAGTTTTGTTGAACTATCAATATAAATCACATAAATGTACATATCTGACTGTTTTCACCAGTGTCGTAATCAATGACGTTGTTAGTTGTTAAAATCGTAGCATTTAAAACTGTATCATTAACTATGTTCGAAGTCAGATAAAACTTCGGTGTAGCATCATCTCCAGACTCAACAGATATTATAGAACATCCGTCAGGTTCTCCGACAGGCTCCTTGTCCTGATCACTGCACGCAACATCAGCAACGTACAAATCTAAAAGCATTGGTATAGTCATAATTACAATGGAATTTGAATTTGACAATAATTTATATTTCTCAAATTAAGATTATTCCGAGGATAACCTTGAGTTTTGATATCAATCCAATTATATAATATATAATAAATATATTAAACATGTACCTTCATACTGAAAATATATAAGGATTAAAAAAAACTTTTCCTGAATTGAAGTTATTGCAAAAACCTGTTCTAATTCAACAATGCTGTCGTTCAAGCCCAAACAAATATATAACACCTAAGTTTAATTATAAAGATATTAATCTAAAACCTTTAAAAGATTATTGTTTACAGGAAAACATACCCTGGGGTGAACCTTCCGGAATGGTGACAGTCTGCGACGTGGGGGTAAGGACCGGATCATATTCATTGACAGGAAGTACATTGATAACCAGTGCTGGACAAAAATTAGCATCGACATTGTTGGTGAACCTATCCCGCACTCTAGGACAAAAACGTTAAATTAATAGATATTCCGATTTATTCTGTAAAGCTCAACCTTTACAATCAAATTAAATGAAAACGCCCTTAAACAAAAATAGAATTAAGAAACTGTCTTATAAGTATAAATTCTAATGGCAGAGGATTATCAGACTCTTGAATAAGAATTTTTGTAGAGTACCCAATATTTTGCACAATGTAAGAAGATGTCGGATTTTCGAAGTCCAGGGCAGAACTTAATGATAAAACTCTTCCTGAAAAAGAGAATGGTTCCTTTGCACCTCCCAGTGCAAAGTAGTAGACAGTATCTCCGTCACGGTCAATACCAGAATAAGTATACAGTGTGGTACCAACAGGTAAGTCCTCTGGAAAAGTTAGATAAGTTGCTGCGGCAGGCCTCGTACAAACTGCCTTTGCCGCAAGTCCTATAAGTAAAATAATTTAAAAGATAAGAAAGAATGATTTATTTTGATACATGATTAGACAGGATTAGGGTTAATCTTCATCGGCTTATTTACAACTTTTTGTCATAATGGAGACTCACCTTTCCCTTGTATAAATGGAAATAATTAAATAACTAAGCTTGTCATCGGTCATTTGCAAAATTATTTTTTAAAGAACACTTTAATTGCACTCAAAAGTACTCAAAACTTGCACTCAAAACACTGATACCTCCAAATGGCAGCTTTTGGCGAAGGTTGAAGTTTCTGAAATTATGCAAGTCTTATTCCAAGGTCAAGAGATGACATATGTTGATTTTCAAAGAAAAGACTCGTCTAAATGAATAAACCCGTGCAAAAAGATAGCAAGGCGCTTATCGCTTAAAAGTTTTAGCAAAGTAAAAAGAATTTAAAATAGGTCAAATGACTCAAATCCTAGGGTCAATGTCCTCTTCAAAAGGTCGTTTGTATTCAAAGGAAGTCCTCATTCGAAAGGGAAGGCCACAGTTAAAGTTTAGTAAGATCTTCCATAATATAACCAAACTCAAAGGTAATGGTCAACAGGTCAAATATGTCAGTACCAAGAGAGGCAGATTGTTCAAAACTTGTGAAACATGAAAGTTATAGCCTCAATCAGTCAAAGGCTCTAAGTATAATGTTAAAGTTTTTGCGAGCAAACACAAATAGAATGACAGACCGACGGACAATCAGGTGAAACGCCACATATATCCCCGCATCTTCGATAATGAGGACAAAGATAAAAATGCCTTGAGTTTTTGAATGACACTTATTATATATGCAGTGTGTGAAGATCAAGTCTATCAACGATCGGTCGAAATTACTTAAATATACTTATTCCTACCCTTGTTTGCAAAACTACTTTTTTATTAATATAAAGTATAATTTGCTCAAGAATGCCTCAAGGAAAGAAGAAACATTTTATTATGACCATCATTTCAACACTAAGATATCTTGACAACGTTTTCTCGATTAACAAAGATTTCATTTTTATTTCTATTTTAAATAAGTATTAGCCTCGCAGATCCATATCAGCCCTGCAGGGCTTGTATGGCTATTGTGACGTCAGTCATATCGCACATACAGAAATCCTGTATTTATTACTAAATTTGTAATGAATGCATATAAAGCAGCTAATTTTCAATGTGTCAGACCCTGCGTTTGAAATATTCTGCGACGTAATAAGTGTTACAGCCATTACAAAGGCAGGGAAAACATTGCCATTCTGCAAATAGTTCATTACTTTTCAGCACTTTAACCATAAGTTATAATACCACTTAGAATTGGGTATCAATTCATTAATAGTCTGCATCAGAACTAATTAATTCAAGTTATGTAGAACTGAAGAAAACAGTATTTATCTGTTTCATGTTGTGTAGGGAAAAGAACTCCACATCAACTCCATACAAAAGAAAAGACACACAATATGCATAATTATCATTTTAATGACGTAAAAGTGCATATTGAATCAATATATCAAAACATGCTCTATTTTTTTCAGT